CCTGGGATCGAGTCCCGCATCAGGCTCCCTGCTTCTCGCTCTGCCTCTCTCTCTCTCTCATGAATAAATAAATAAAATCTTTAAAAATAAAAAAAAATTAAAAATAAAAAATAAAGAGTGGTGGGAACATCAACATCACCTAAAGTAACATAAGAAATTACACATTGTTTTTTACCCTAAATCTCTTTTTCAAAGTTTATGGTTATCAAATTGGTACTGGTACTATTTATTTTTCTGAACTGGACTTTTATCACTTATAAATGATTCTCTGACCTAACACCAAAATGGCCATGGCCTTGGCTACTACTTTTCCCAACTTCTAATCTAGAGCAAGGGCTAGAAGATAGGGTTGCTATCTCTACTCTATTGACCTGCTGAATCTGGCAAATCATTCCCTGGGTACAGTCAAGGAAATACAGCCTGGGTTTCCTTGCACCTTGAATCTGGCATGACGATCTTTCAGATGGGGATCCCTAGCCTCCTGAGGAGGCAGGGGCTCAGTGGTGAGCTCACCTGTTTCACAGCAATGCTGACCCGGACAGAGTTGATGGAGCCCTCAATCAGAACCTTTTCCTTCTCATTCCTGCTGATCGTCACAGGTTGTAACAGGAGCTCTTTGCTACTCCTGAAAACACAATGTCAGAGAGGCCTCTGTACTACAGAAGAACAGAATGCTCAAGGAGACCCCACAGCAGGCCCAGGAATCTCTATCTGAGACCACAGAGTCCAAGGAATAGGAGACTCACAAGTAGGGGTGCTCCAAGATGGGGGCCAGCGAGTGTGTTCTCCAACAGAAGGAGCAAGGCTCTGGAGTCAGGGTGATAAGGTTTTGAAATCCAGCCTCCTCTGTTACTTTCCTTGGACAAGTTACCCTGTTGGGATCTCAATTTCCTCATCTGTAAAATGACTGATTCCTATTTCACTGGCAAGGATTGAGAAAGATCAAAAAGGGTCAATTGTCTAATAGAGTGCCTGGCACATGGTAGGAGCTTTACAAATGACAGCTCTTATTTTAAATAACTACAGGCAAACCCATATACCATGTAGGGAACGAGAAGAGAGAGGCTGCCTTAAGGATAAGGACAAGCTAAAATCAAACAGAGTTTAGCCTTCTTTAATTATCAATTCAGAATGATTCACTTATTCAGCATTAAGACCCCTCTCAGCTCAGCTCCTATTTTGATGCCTCTGAATCTCTAGGTATTTGTCATGGTAATTAAAATGCCCAATGGAAATCATGTATGTTAAGTAGAGCAACATGAAACATGCTAACATCTTGTATTTTAAAATTCAAATCATTCCAACATGGTGTGGTAACACTGTTTATCTCAGTTATACATGTCTCAGATTAAACTTTAAAGGAGAACAACATTAATTTAACAAAACATAAACTAGATAAGAGAAAATAACCCAAAATATGGAAAATTTGGAGTAAGGAATGAGAGAGTCCAGGTTGGCAGGGGGGAGAAACATTCTTTGATCTTTAAATTACAAGAGGACGGAGACGGCATCTAACAAAATTCTCCACTCTCCTTAAACTGGGTTCAATAATGACGCAGGAGATACTTAACAAACAGCCCCACTCTGAGAAGTCACACTTTGTGTCAAGCAATCTTGGCTCCAGAGGAGCTTCTCCCCTGTGTTTTGTCCTGCCAACCCACTGACCCTATTTTCTGAACTGCAAATTGGGAACCATTGCTCATCGGGCAACAAGACAAAATATATGAACTATAGTTGTCTTGACAACTCCAGGATGGAAATTCGTGGCAGCCTCCAGACAACTGCCATCTCTGGGGCTGAACCCATCATCCCCACCCTGACCTTTCTCTTCCCTACCTGACTTCTACTTCCGGCTTGTTGTGTCGTTCCACAACCTGGGAGGAGAAATTCTCCAGGCAGAGGGCAGCCTGCAGTGTGGCCCGCACGGCACTCAGGTAGGGGCGGAGAGTGGCAGTCTGTAGGAAAAAAAACCCAAGGGAGAGTCAGGATCTGTCTTAGCAAACCCACTGGCCCCCTACTCCAGCTACATGGGAGCCAGGCAGTACTGAGAGTACCTGGCTCAGATACCACAGTGAACAAAACAGACTAGGCCTTCAGGGTGCCTTTCATTCTAAGTCTAGAACAGTGTTTCTCAACAGGGGACCATTTTTCTTGCCAGGGGACATTCTGCAATGTAGGGACATTTTTGACAGGACTTGGGGTGGGGTGGGAGTGCTACTGGCATCAAGGAGAGGCCCAGCATACTGTTAAACATCCTAAAATGCACAAAAAAGAATTATTAGGGGTATCTGGGTGGCTCAGTCAGTTAAGTGTCTGACTCTTGATTTTGGATTGGGTCATGATCTCAGAGTTGTGGGATCTAGCCCCGATTCGGGCTGCATGCTCAGCGCGGAGTCTGCCTGATTCTCTCCCTGTTCCTCTGCCCCTTCCCCTTTCTCTGCCCCTCTCCCTATTTGCACGTGCTCTCTCTCTGTAAAATAAATCCAAAAAAAAAAAAAAGACGAAAAGAATTATTCAACCCCAAATAGTGCTGAGGTTGAAAAATTCTGGTCTAAAGGCATACAGATGACAATGACTGTTCTCAAATCTGTCTTTTGAGCCAAGAATGGATAAGTCTACTGTGTGTTAGGTACTGATCTAAATGCTAAGATTTTATTTTTTTTTTTTTTTAAAGATTTTATTTATTTATTTGACAGAGAGATAGAGAGCACAAGTAGGCAGAGAGGCAGGCAGAGGGAGAGGGAGAAGCAGGCTCTCCGCTGAGCAAGGAGCCCGATGCGGGGCTCGATCCCAGGACTCTGGGATCATAACCTGAGCTGAAGGCAGCCCTTTAACTGAATGAGCCACCCAGGCGCCCCTAAATGCTAAGATTTTAAAGACCATCTCTACCTTTAAACAGCTCAACTAGGTAGAAAAGACAAAAAATAACTATGACATAAAGGAGAATGAAATGGAACAGAATTTGATTTATAAATTGTATTTCCAGAAGAGACTGGTTTGGACATAAAAATGAAGATAGGATTAGGAAGATTTTATAACAAAAAGTAAACTAAGGACATTCCCAGTAGAGGGATCAGCTTCTACCTACACTGGTGTATCTTCAGTTCCTTGTATTAACTAAGTTCTTTCTCACCTCAGGGCTTTACACATGCTGATCCATCTATCTACAGGGTTTTCTTCCCTCTCTTGACCCAAGTCATCCCTCAGACCTTGGCTTATTCAGGGAAGGCCCCTTCCTTCCTCAGAGAGGCCATTCTTGACTTCCCCCTTCATAGCATTTATTATAATTTACATGACACATCCTTCATATTTCTTTAGTAAAGTGATTTCTTCTTCACTAGACTGTAAGCTTTGTGGTCAACAGACCATGTCTCTTTATTCAAATCTACATACCCTGCACCTAGCTCAATACCTAACATATGCAATGTCTTACTCCTTTTCTATAAAATATTATGTAGAATACCACAAGCAAGGGTAGAACAACACAAAAAAGACATTAAGAATTCCGTAAGTAGTGATGAGTAAAGTGTTGCTGTATACAGAAAGCACTTTAGATTCAGTAGATGAGGCTGCAATGGTGGCCTAAAGATTCATGGGTAATCTCAAATGCCAAGCTGTTCATTTCAGCTTTTCTTTTAAGGCAGTAAGGAACTGTTGGGACTTTCTGAGGAGGAAGTTATATGACTTCACCAGTTGCACGGTGGCTCTATAGAGAATGGACTGGAGGGAAGTGAGACAAAAGGCAGAGAGGGTTATTCAAGGAACGCTGATGAGAGCCTGAGGCAGTGGAAAGGACAAGCAGAGGGTATCACAAGAGTTGGACTGTCATAAGATGTAGAGAATAATGGAATCAAAAAACACCTCCCAACAAACTGTGGTTCACCCATACGATGAAATACTATTCAGGAATAAAAAGGAGTAACTAGTGATACATGCAGCATGGATGAATCTCAAATGCATTATGGTTAAGAAGCCACATTGGGACAACTGGCTGGTTCAGTCTGAAGAGTCTGTGACCCTTGATCTCAGGGTCGTGGGTTTGAGCCCCATGATGGGTGTAGAAAATACAAAAATAAATAAATAAACTTAATTTTTTTTAAAGCCACATCAAAAGGCCTACATCCTGAAAAATTCCATTTATATGACAATATCAAAAAGGCAAAACTATAGGAGAAAAAAAAACAGTGGTTGCCTGGAATGGGGAGAAGACAGGACTGGCAACAGAGGGACTTGAGGGAATTTTTTGAGGAAACATTGTTACCTTGGTTGTAGTAGTGGCTACATTATTGTGTTTGTCAAAATCCATAGATGACAAACTTAAAAAAGGGATGATTTTTAGATGACAAGCCCCATGACACCTGCCCTTTCACAGATAAAATGCATTCTCATGTAATACCTCAATAAAGTTGACTTTTAAAAAATCCAAGTGGGATAGCCTCAATTAGAAAAATAGAAAATCCAGGCTGCTAGCAGAGGTACGAAGACACAAAGCCAGGATAAGCAACATAAAAAGAAAAGCAAGTTTAGGAGAGAAAATGATGTTTGATCTGAAGGCCTAATCTGAAGGTATCTTCAAGATATCCAGGCAAACCTTAAAAGAGAACTAGGAAGACAGATTCAAGAGCCACCAGAACACACAAGGTCATCAAAGCCGGGACTAGACAGGTACCACTAGGAAAAATGTAAAGAGGAAGGTGGTGAGCCCAAGCCTCAACTCCCGGGAACACCCACATTTATCAAATGGGAGGATTTCCAGGAAGGGAGGGATCAGTAGTATCAGAGCTCACGTACTATGGTTAAGGTTAACGCGGTTTAATTCTGACCAGGAAGAGGTCTGGGTGGTGGGAACATAAAAGAGATACTTCTGTGGCGTAGAAACAAGGCAGGGAGTAAGGAGAAGAGTGGGATAAGGAAGTGTAGACTCTTCCTCTGGAAAACTGGGGTCAAGCGGGCAGGAGAGGACAAGACAAGTGTACTTAGGGAAGTTCTCCTCTGGGTGAAGAGACTTTACTATGTGCCTCAGCGACCCTACTACGGGCAATGAGGCCTACTAAGTGCCTTCAAGGCGCTAACACCTGCCTAGGAGGTCCCACTTCCGGCGTCCTCTATGCCTCACAATTCCCCACCTGGATCGAAAGCCAAACCATGAAGCTGCAAGGCCTGCTTAAGAGGGCGTACCCCGCTCGCCCCTTCCTCACTTCGGCTCCCGCCCCGCCCTCTCTCTCCCAGCCACCTCGTGCCCCCACACCCAGCAGCATCCCTCAGCCCCGGGCCTCTCCGCTGCAAAGCCGCACCTCCCCCAGACCCACAGCTCTGAGGCAAAACAGCAGGGGTCCCTGGACCGGGGCCCGGCTCTCTCACCATCGCGGGCGCTGGCTGGGCCGGAAAGCGGAAGTGCGGAAGTGGCCAGCCCCGCGACGCCTGCCCTTTCGCGCGAAGCGCAGCCTCAGTCTCCGCCCGGACTTCCGGACGGTACCATCTATGATCCGAGCGTAGAAGGGGGTGCTTAGGAACATATGGTCCTTTGGAGGTTTCCCCGCTAGGGCTGTCTTGACATTTTTAGACTCCTGAAGTCTCAAATCGCTACTCAAGCTTATCCCGTTATCGATGCAGGTCTCGCCTGTGACTTTGGCCTTCTTGTCTTTGCCACTGTCTTTCCCCATTGTCAGGCAATGGTGCAGCCCGGCCTCAGGTTGGGCACCATATTAGGACAAGGCGAGGCGGAGGAGCCCTTCGTTCCTTCCGGTTCTGCGCCCCTATCCTTTCTCTGAGCCCCTCCTACTTGCAGCCCCTGGGGCTCGGCGGGACTAACAGCCCGGCTGAGAACTCGGCTATCGAGCCCCGCCCCCAGCCTCAGGCTGTTCCTCAGAGTAGGCCTGAGGCATACCCTTCCCCCCGCCCACCTGCAGCGGGTTCGCTCGCGGCCTGTAAACCCTTCCCCGCAAGCCATATCGGGCTCTCCCTCGCGTCTCCCACCCCCGCGTCCTCTGCAGGGGGCCCGCCCCTAGCCAGTTCCGGGGCGGTTGCTCCCACCAACCGGAACTCCCCGCCCCCTCCCGTGGCCTGGGGGCCGTAGGAGGCAGCAGGAGGCTGCAGTGAGGAGGTAGAGGGGGCGGGGGCCGCGTTAGGGGGTCCTTAGAGGACGGGGACCCTGAAGGCAAGTCACTGGGGCGACCCACGGGAGGGGCCAGCCATTACACAGGCGCACTTCTGTGCCAGGCACTGAACTGGGCTCTTGACGAGCATCCTCTCTTAATCCTCAGAACATCCCGGGGAGGTAGGTACTGTTGTGATCCCCATTTTACAGATTCAGACTTCTTATGGGGAAACAGACTCAGATTTCTTTTGTCCCCATTTTGTAGATGGAAAAACCGAGACTCAGGAAGGGTAAATATGTTCCGAACTACATAAATAGAGAATGGTAGAGGCTGGGCTTGAACCCAGGTATGTCTGGCTTACCAGCCCACATTCTTAACCACTGTCAGGGGCAAAGAGAAGGGACAAAGATGGGAGGGGGTAAGACAAGGAGAAGCTGGGAGGCACAGAGAACATTAACATTGTAAGAATGGGATGTTTGGAGCTCAGGGGCTTTGCAGAACTCGAGGAGTAGAACGGAAAAGCATCAGGAAGATAGGGCTTGGTATATCACGGAAATTAGTGGCACAGACTCACAACTACATCTTGGTAACCTTGGGCAGGTACCTACGCTTACAGAGTCTGAGTTTCCTTCACTGTAAAGTGTAGATCACCATTGTCCCTTCTCATGGGGTTGGGTGAGGAATTCAGTGAGAAGCCCCTAAAATGTCTGTACCTAGCTTGATGTACAGTAAGTGCTCTGTGGGTAGGAGCAGTGCCATCAACCTTGTCAATAAGGTACTGAAGCCGGGCTTTCTCCTTGAGTCTGTCCCTGGATGAAGGGAGCTCTTGGACTTTTCTTGTGCCAGTTTATCTCCTACCAATGGCTCTCTCCTCTCCAGTTCCACAGGGTCCTGTATCCTGGGCCATGAGTGAACTGAAGGACTGCCCCTTGCAGTTCCATGACTTCAAGTCTGTGGACCACCTGAAGGTTTGTCCACGCTACACAGCCGTGCTAGCCCGCTCTGAGGATGACGGTATCGGCATCGAGGAGCTGGACACTCTGCAGCTGGAGCTTGAGACCCTGCTTTCCTCTGCCAGCCGGCGCCTGCGGGTTCTCGAGGCTGAAACCCAGGTGATACCCTACAGAGAGGATATCACCAGGGGTGGACTGTGACGAGTTATGGGATGGGTCATTGAGTTAGCCCCACCTGCAGAGGCCTGGGGTACAGGAGCTTAGAGGGCTGAGAGACCCAAGCTGGGCTCACGTGACACATAGAATATACAAGAATGTGCATGATCCTTATAAATGGCAAGATTTCCAATTTACTAAGCCTTTATTGACCCCAACCTGCATTATGTTCTGGGTCCTGTGCTAGTCATTAGAGAGAGGTAATTAGGACACTTCTGGCCTTCAGGGAGTTTGCCAAATAAAGGGAGGGAGAGGTCAGACAAGTACCAGGTGATGTTGTGTTATGGTTAGAAGTACCAGGGGAACTGGATTGAGAAGACCTGGATTTGAATCCTGGCTTAAGCACTTGCTTAGTGTTGCTGTTTCCTAGCTATATGACTGGGAAAGTTGCCTCCCTTTGCATCAATTCCCTATCTGCAGACTGGGATACCTTTGAGCTTCTGTGAGGATTAAAAGAGAGGGGTTTTTTTTGCAAAGCCTCAGGCCGATATCTAACATTAAGTATTTCAGATGTTAATTATTGGTACTCTTCACTATGTAAACATCCCCTGAGCCCTGTGTGTCAGATGCTATGCCAAATCCTGGGGAGCAGACGTAGTTAAGATGAATTTCCTCATCTCTAGTAGCTTATAATCTAGTTGAAAAGACAAGGTATGCTGTTCATTCCAGTATGATCAAACAACACATTTAGGCCTGCAGTGGGTACAAAGTGTCAGAGACCCAGGGAGGACCAAGATGCCATTTTAATTGGACCTCAAAGGATGAATAGTTAACTTGTGGTCCCTGGGAGTGCACTGAAGCTTTTTGAGCAGGGCTGTGGCATATTCAGTTGTATTTTAGCATGTAAGAAGCTGGGTAACTGATGTGGAGACGGCTTCCCGGTTGTGGTGACATTTGAAGCGAAGGTCTGCTGGGAGGCTTGTTTGCATTCACCAGAAAGTTACCAGCAGCATATTCCAGTGCTCATATGCACTGGGGCATGATCATTTGTTTGACCTAAACACTGTGTGACTGGCTTGAGTGATACAGAGGTGAATCAGTACAGACAAATGGAATGATGAGAAGTATATGAATAAAGTCCTGTGAGGTAGGCACAGTAAAGGAACTGAGTTTTGAAGGATGAGTAGGAGTTTGCTAAATAAAAGGGGATGGATAAATAAGCCTTTGGAGCCTTCTCAAGTTCTAGCGCCTAGTTCTTCACTAGGAGAAAAACTTGTCCTATGACTTCTCTTCTCCCCCTCAGTGATAGTCTCTGCAAATTTCAGATCCTCACTGACTGGCAGGATAAGAAAGGTGATCGACGATTCCTGAAGCTGGGTCGAGACCATGAGCTTGGAGCTCCCCCAAAACATGGAAAGCCGAAGAAGCAGAAACTGGAAGGGAAGGCGGGACATGGGCCAGGCCCTGGCCCTGGCCGGCCCAAATCCAAAAACCTTCAGCCCAAGATCCAGGAATATGAATTCACTGATGACCCAATTGACGTGCCACGGATCCCCAAGAATGATGCCCCCAACAGGTTCTGGGCCAGAAAATATAGAGGGGCCTTGGGATTCAGGCAGTAGAGGCTGTGGAGGGGCCTGGAGCTGAGGATGATGGGGCAGGAGGTGCCCATTCAGGATCTGCTTCTCCTTGCAGGTTCTGGGCTTCCGTAGAGCCCTACTGTGCTGATATCACCACTGAGGAGGTACGCACACTAGAGGAACTACTGAAACCCCCAGAGGACGAGGCTGAACATTACAAGGTAGAAACCCTGGGCCTTGGTAGACAGGGTGGTGAACAGGAGGGCTCAGAGGTGCCTCCGAATCAAAGATCCCAAAGTCATATATCATCTTCCTTCCCCTACTCTGCCCCTAGTCTAGTCAACCCACCCAGACACCCAGGCTCTGATTCTCAGCTCTCTTGCATTGCTTCCTCTCTACCCCATCCAAATGATCACATACATCCTGAGGCATCTACGTCAGTGACACCGTCCTTTGTCCCAACATCTCTGTTACCTCTGCTTTGATTCAAGCCTTCATTAGCTTTCACCCAAATGGTCTCTTAATACTTCCCTGTCTCCAGACAGACTTTTTGTTTTCTTTTTTTAATATATTAAAGTTTTCTTATGATGTAAATAAAACTGGTTCCATTAAAGAAAATGTAGAAAATACAGAAAAGTATCAGGGAGCACTCTCTTATAGGTCAGCTGTTGTGATCGGATGTAACGCAGGCCTACTCCCAGGCCTCCCCTGACTCCACAAGATGGAGTCCAAGCATTTCGGTCCTTGGTGACACAGCCCTACTGCCCCTCTCCAGTTTCCTCAGCCATGCCCCCTCGTCACTGCTGCATTTACCAGTCCTGCCAGGCACCTTGCCCTCACCCCAGGCCCACCCAGGCTCTTTGCTGGTCTCTGGGCCTCTGTACATGCTCTTTTTCCCTTAGCAAACTAATTTGTCCTTCAAATCACTGATCCCTTGTTATCTCCACCAGAACACCTTTGTAGACTCCCCGCAGAAAGTTTCTTTTTCATGTGCCACAACACCTTGACCTACCTCTAGCACTTCAGTTCTTTGAATTTTTAAAAAAATTATTTGAAAAAGAAATTATTTGAAAAGTTAATTCATATAGGCAGTAGTAAATTCAGGTAATACAAATGAGAATTTCTTCTCCTGACACTAAGGCTCTTAGGTCTCTCTAGGGACAACAGCTATGACCTGAGATGATCCAGGTACATACACCATTCTGCACCTATATCTTGGAAATTGTTCCATACTGGCTCCCATGTGTGTCTTAGTTGGTTATGTACCTGTCTCTCTTACTAGACTGTGAGCATAGAGATTTTTATCTCCTTTGTTTCTTCCCACCTATGCAAGGCACGGGCCTTAGCCCTGCGGTAAGTCCTTGGGAGACAGATAAGTGAAGGAATGAATGATGAGCCTATTGGCAGTGTCCCAAGTGCACAGAGAGCCCCCACCCACCCCGGGCATGGCTTGCCAGTGTTTACCCCTTTTGGGCCGGGTGGCATCTCCCCACAGATCCCACCCCTGGGGAAGCACTACTCCCAACGGTGGGCGCAGGAGGACCTGCTGGAGGAACAGAAGGACGGGGCCCGAGCAGCAGCTGTGGCTGACAAGAAGAAAGGTCTCATGGGGCCACTGACCGAACTGGACACTAAAGGTAGGCCCCTCGCCTCTCTGCCCACCCCAGGCCAGGACTTGAGTTCCCAGATCTCAGCCCACCTGTCTACCATCTCTCTGCCCACTTTAGATGTGGATGCCCTGCTGAAGAAGTCTGAGGCCCAGCATGAGCAGCCAGAAGATGGGTGCCCCTTTGGTGCTCTGACGCAGCGCCTCCTACAGGCCCTGGTGGAGGTGAGCACCCTAACTCAAAACAGGAATTATGCTTACTTTCTGTTTTAATGTTTTATTTTGTGTTGAGGTATATCATACATTTAGAAAGGTACGTAGATCTTAAATGTATAGATTGATAAATTTTCACACATAAGCACACTTGTATAACTGGCCTCATGGTCACAAAATAAAGCATTGCCAGTGTCCTTGAGCCCCTCTCATGCCCCTCCCAGATTCTAGTCTCCCCCAAAAGTAGCCACTACACCACAGTTACTTTTGTTGAGTGTTAGCTGAGGGCTGAGCCCTGTGTAAGGGCTTTCCACACATCCTCCTGTTGGAGGCAAGGACAGTGGTTAGCCCCGTGTTGCATACTAGAAGATTGAAGCTCAGAAAAGGGAACTGTTTGCTTGAGGTTTTACAGCTGATAATTAGAAGGAGGACCCAAACCCCAGGTACAGAGTCCCCTTCTTTATGCCTACTGTCTGGCCTTAGGCACATCCCTTCACCTCATTGAGCCTTAGTTTTCTCCCTGACTCAAACACAGTAGTGTTTTTCTCTCATTTAACAGTCTGGGGCACATGTTCTGGGTTGGCTGAGGTGGGAGTGAGGGGAGATCTCAGCCCCACACCATCAGACAAGGACCCCAGTTGTGGTGGCTTTTCCACCCTAAACATGCACTCTGTACAAGGTCATTCTGGGTATGACTGCTACTCCAAGCCCACAGAAAAAGAGCAAGAAAGAATGTGTGAAGGAAGGTTTATGGGCCATGACTGGCTGTGGCTCTTATCTCTCCTGATCTCTTTTCACTGGAGAGAATTTGTCACATGACCACATCTGACTACAAGGGGAGCTGGGAAGTGTAGTGTAGCTGGGCAGCTCTAAGCCCAGCTACAGAAAGGTGAGAATGACTTTTGGACAGCCAGCAGCCCTGCCACATCGTGCTCAGCACGGTGCCTAGTACAGTGCAAATGCTTAGCTCTTCTCTTTACTGTTGTTGAGTATTATCATTGCTCATCTGTGCTCCCTTCTTTTTGGTATCAGTACGAAAAAGGGGTTTCTAAAATGATCAGATCTTTCTGGAATCAGTTTGGGAAGGCTTCCTAGAGGGATGGGAACAATAAAAGAGTTTTTCTGGTCTGTGAAGACTGAAGACTCTGACTGCAGGTTAGAGAGGAGCAAGAAAAATACTACAGCTCTTACTCCCTCCATCCCATTCCTGTGGTCTTCTAGGAAAATATTATTTCCCCTATGGAGGACTCTCCTATTCCCGACATGTCTGGGAAAGAATCGGGGGCCGACGGGGCAAGCACCTCTCCCCGCAATCAGAACAAGCCCTTCAGGTGAGTGACAACTCTGTCCATATCCTACTATCTGGCCCCTGCCTCTGTTGACTTCTTTCCATCCCAACATGGGGAGGTCTTCATTAAAAGAGAGGTTGAGGGCATTTTGACGAAACCCAATGGAAGTTTCAAACATGCATGCTGGCCCAGCATTTCTGCGTGCATAGATTTAAGTACAGGGTTGTTCCTCATAGCACTGTTCATAGTGTAAATGATCTAAATGTGCAACTGGCTAAATAGTTGTAATTCCACATGATGAAATAACTTGTAACTGTTAATCATCTTAGAGAAACCTGGTAAATTGAAATGAAAAGATGTAACAAGAGAGTATTAAATGGAGAAAATGTGAGTTGAGCACAATACAGTTTGATCCTGTTTTTACTCAGCATATATTTAAATGTGTGCACATAGGGAAAAAAACCTAAAATAATGTGTAATAAAAGATTGGAAAAAACATGTAACAAAATCTGTAATATATATGGTGTATAAGTAACATAAAATATGTAATTTTTGTTATGTGTAATGTTAATAACAGCAAAATAACAGTAATATTTTTAATAGTAACATAAAATAATAGTGGTTTTCTCTGAGTTGTTGGCATTACAGGTTTTTCTATATTTTTTGACAATGGATATGTGTTGGCTTATGTTTGAAACAAGACCAGATGGGTGTCTCTATTTTTTTTCCAGCGTATTGTGCAATAATTGATATATATCCCTGTATGAGTTTAAGGTATACATGTACAAAACATATAGTGGTCTGATTTACGTATGTTGTGAAATGATTACCACAGTAGGTTCAGCTAACATCCATCTTCTCACATAGATACAATAAAGAAAAAAAAAGGAAAAATATTTCTCCTTGTGATGAGAACTCATAGGATTTACACTCTGTATCATACAGTAGTGTTAGCTACGGTCGTTGTGTTGTATAAAATATCCTGGGACTTATTTATAATTGGAAGTTTGTATCTTTTGATCACCTTCCTCCAGTTCTCCCCCCCACCCACCCTCTGACTCTGGTAATGGGAAGTCTGATCTCTTTTTCTATGAATTTGTGTTTTTTTTAGATTCCACATATAAGTGAGATTATGTGGTATTTTTCTCTCTCTGACTTATTTCACTTAGCATAATGCATTCAAAGTCCATCCATGTTGTCACAAATAGTAGGATTTCCTTGTTTTTTTTAAGGCTGAATAATAATCTGTTGTATATATACCACAATTTCTTTATCCATTCATCCATCATTGGACACTGAGGTTGCTTCCATATCTTGACTATTGTAAATAATGCTGCTGTGAACATGGGGGTACAGATATGTTCTCCAGTTAGTATTACATTTCCTTTGTACATACTCCCAGAATTAGAGTACTGGATCATATGGTAGGCTCTGTTTTTAATTCTTTGAGGATCCTCCACACTGTGTTCCACAGTGTCTGCACCAGTTTACATTCCCACCAACAGTGCAGGAGGGTTCCTTTTTCTCCAGATTCTCACCAGCATTTGTTGTCTCTTGTCTTTGTGATGATGGCCATTCTAACAGGCCAGAGGTGATAACTCATTGTGGTTTTAATTTGCATTTCTCTAATAACTAGGGATGTTGAGCATCTTTTCATGTACCTCTTGGCCTTTTATATATCTTCTTTGGAGAAATGTCTATTCAGGAACTTTGCCCATTTCTTTAATTGGGTGGGTTTATTGCTTTTGAGTTATAGGAGTTCTTTATATATGATGGTTATTAACTTCTCATCGGGTATATCGTTTGTGAATATTTTCCCATTCCATGAGTTATCTTCTCACTTTGCTGATGATTTCTTTTGCTGTGCAGAAGTAGTTTTTTGATGTAGTCCTGCTTGTTTATTTTTTGTTTTGTTGCTTGTGTTTAGGTGTCATAGCCAAAAAGTCATTGCCAAGACCCATGTCAAGGAGCTTAGCTCTTAACATTTTCTCTTTTTTTTTTTATGCCTAGATAGAGAGGGGGTGCCCACAGAGAAAAGAATGTGTTCACTAACCTTGGGAAGCTCTCCGGGGTTCCCCCTCTAAGCTGGCTCTTGAGCTAAGGACTCCCTTCCTCTGTAGTGTGCCACATACCAAGTCCCTGGAGAGCCGCATCAAGGAGGAGCTGATTGCGCAGGGCCTGCTGGAGTCGGAGGACCGCCCCGCAGAGGACTCGGAGGATGAGGTCCTGGCAGAGCTGCGCAAGCGGCAGGCCGAGCTGAAGGCGCTCAGTGCCCACAACCGCACCAAGAAGCACGACCTGCTGAGGTGAGTGTGGCCAGGTGGCATGGGCCGGGGGGTGGCCAGGGCGGCCTGGGCCACTGCTGCTCGCCTTCTGGGGGCTTCCCAACAGGGTTCCCAAACCCGGCAGGGCCTCTAAATCACCCAGAGAGCCTTGGGAAAAATACCATTGCCAGGCACCACAGACTCTAGGGCTCAGGCATCTGTGATTGATTTATTTACCTATTTGGAATTGTGGTGAAAAAAACGTATAATATAAAATGGATTCTTTCAACCTTGTTTATGTGTACAGTTCAGTGGTATTACCTATATTTACATTGTTGTGTGATTTATTTTAATTTTTTCATGCTTATTTTCGTTTTCCCCCAACATATTTTTATGACAAATTTCATAAACAGAACATCTGAAGGAGTAGTACGATAAACAGCAATATACTGTCTATCTGGATTTATCAACTGTTAACAATTTGGTTTGATATCTGTGATTATTATTGGTCCTTTACTGGAAATTGCCCAGTATTTTAGTATCAGTTCTTTAAGGAATTGGTCACAATAGCTTTCATTTTATATTGACTCCCATCCCTCTTGCCCTGCATTGGTCATGACAAAAGTATAGTGACGTCTGGAGGGAGATTATGTTAGTTGTTGCCCTTTTTGGAGGGAGGTAGAGAAGCAGCCTCACTGACAGGTGTATCTTCCCCTCACAGAGCCCCAGCAGGGCAGGGCACACTCGTTCATTTGGCCAGCTCTGCCTGTCTCTCGCACGTTGTACTGGGGGCTAGGAAGAGAGGCAGAGCAAAGGCTTGTGGTCTACAGGTGGGTTATTGGTAAAGAAGTGCACCATTAAAAGGAGAGGGAACTGCTGACAAGCTGCTAAGGGGCTGCTTAAGGATAAGGGTGCACTGAGTGCCTACGGTGCACCAGGGGCTGTATGTACATCCTCCTGTTTAATCGTGACTACTGTCTGAGGGGTAGGCGGTATTTTCCCTGTTTCCTAGAAGAGGAAGTAAAGGGCCACTGAGGTGAGTGCTCTCCTGAAGGTCATACAGCCAGTAAACAACCGAGCTGCAACTTGAGCCCAAAGCTAAATGCAAAGCCTCTTTCTAGTTCCCTTTCATGGAAGAGCAAGAAGAGGAAAATAACAGATGAAAGAGGTACTGAGTGGGGTGGAGGAGAGAGAGTGAGAGGGAGAAGCAAGGATGTGCAGATAGAGAGGTAGTGGACAGTGAACGAACTAGCTTGGGTTGTCAGAAGGCCAGAGTCCAGCCCTCAGTCCTGCTGTGGACCAGCTGCAGGGCCTTAAGCAAGGTATCTCCTGTCCTGAGCAGCAGCTTCCCCTTCTAGAAAATTAACAGGTTGGACTAGGTCAGATCACTAAGCCACCTTCCAGCTCCACCAACAGAGGAATTTATCAGTCGGATTGCATTTACAGGGGTTGGTTTGGCATCTCACGTGCTTCATGTAGACCACAGGCTGCCTAGACCCTTAGGTTGCTCTGGAATTTGGATACTGAAGTAAGCAGGTCTTTTGCTGACACTAGAACACCTTTTAAAGAAGGTTGTTTGGAGCCAGCCTGCCTTAATTCAGATCTCCTACTCACTAGTTGTGGGATCTTGGGGTGTTTCTTACTCTCCTTGACTTCTGTTTTATCATTGGTAACATTGGGATAATAGTACCTACCTCACAAGGTTGTTACGAGGATTAATTCTGCTGACATATTTGAAGGGCTTGAGATTATACCTAGCACGTAGTACCATATAAATGTGGTTCAGTAACTTTGCTTTTTGGTATGAAACGGTCCACAGGAGTGCCGACCTGGGGTGATGCGTGGGTTCAGTCTGAAACGGGGGGGGCGGCCACTGTGGAGGTGGGCTTCCCATGGCACCTGGCTGGCTGGTCCCCACAGGCTGGCAAAGGAGGAGGTAAGCCGGCAAGAGCTGAGGCAGCGGGTCCGCATGGCAGACAACGAGGTCATGGATGCCTTCCGGAAGATCATGGCTGCCCGGCAGAAGAAGCGGACCCCCACCAAGAAGGAGAAGGACCAGGCCTGGAAGACTCTGAAGGAGCGTGAGAGCATCCTAAAGCTGCTGGATGGGTAGCCCTCACCCCTGCCTCATGCTGCCTGCCCCTGGTCTGGGGGAAGGAGGGGTGGGAAGCCCACTTCCTTCTCTGGGCTGCCCAAACCATAGGCCTGTGGCCACCTGTTAAATGTCAAATCGTGGCAGTCTCTAGAGGACTGTGGCCTTTCCCTGAGGTCTTGTGACCCAGCTCTGTTCAGCCAGGACATGGGAGGCCCTGCTGGGCTGGCCTGGGGCCCTGTCTGTGCTTCCCCCTCTTTACTATCCCCCACTCCCACACCTCTCTCCCTCAAGGACTTCTCCCTTGTGGTTTTGTAAAGTGCAAACCTAAAAGTAAAGTGACTGCTGTGGTTTTTAAAAAAGTACCCAGAATCTTTGAATGTCTGTTATTGTGGGGTAGAAAAGAACTGGTGTGGGTGGCAAAGGAGGGCATGCTTGGGGGCTCTCAGCCTTTGGCCACTCACCCATGTCATTCATTCAGGAAGAACTCTCTGAGGATACCTGTGGCTGCAGGTAACAGAATACCCTCAGCTCAGACTGGATTCACAGCAAGGAAATGTGTTGGTTGGGGCCTCGGTGGTCCTGGGGCAGGGTGGCCCCCGGGGTTGGCCAAGCCAGCAACTCAACAGGACCATCAAGGGTCCAGCTATCTCTCTCCTGCCCTCCACCATGTCAGCTTTTGCCTAAAGTAGGTTTTCCTCCAGCTGTGCAGCCACTGGCAGCTGACAGGGGCCAAATTGACATCTAGCACAGGAGAGGGCAGGAAGGAGCCAGCTGGCTTTCCTGGCCCACCCAAAAGGCACGATGCCTGTCCCAGATGCCCTTCTGTCTCACTGGCCCAAGCTAAGTCTCGCATTCCCATTCCTGCACCAATCACTGTGGCAAGGGATGACTCTTCTGGGTTTTAACTAGAGAGAGTGGAGTCTGCTTCCCCACCAAGCCCAAGGCAGTGGGGAGAAATGGGGGAAACCCAACAAAAATCTGAAAGTAGGAAGTGGAAATGGATGTTGGATAGGCGACCAGTCATGTCCCTTCCACAACCCAGGCAGGAAACTAGGCCTAGGCTATACAGATGAGCGAATGTGTTCTCATCCCTGCCTCGAGTTGTTCCCAGACTAGTCAGGGAGTCGGAAAATAATTTGCAATTTACTGTGGGAAGGCTGAAGTCCACATGGGAGAAGGGAGGGGAAGGTTCCCTGCGGAAGTGACCTGTGAACTGAGCCATAAAGAAAGATGGTGAGAACAGCCAACATTCTTGTGTGCGCAGCACTTCTGTTAAGAGAACTGCCCCTTCACCATTTCATGTGGCTTTTGTGGGACTGTCGAACTAGGATGGATACATGACCCCAGCTTGGCCAGTCACAGCACCCTATTTTTTAGCCATGATAACTGGTCCAGAAAATGGACACGTGACCTGAGCTGGGTCAATCAGAGATCTTCCATAAGCTTACTCTATTGATGCTGAGAGAGGAGCGTGTCCCTTTTGGATCAAAAGCCTTAGAATGTAATCTTAGACTACCTGCTGACCCACTCTCTTGCCACATGGAAGAACCTGCCTGAGAAGAACGGCAGAGCCAGGAGATGGAGAAGGAGACAAAGTCCTTGTGGAGCCTCCCGATCCTCCACTGGACCTTCAGTTACCTCAGCCCACAGGTGCTGCTTTGGGCTTAAGCTAGTTCCCCTTGGAGTTTCATCATTTGTCAACTAAAAAAAAAGGCCTGACTGATGAAAGTGGACTTCGGCAAAAAGAAGGCTGGAGTGGAGTTCTGAGAGAGGACAGCAGAGGCCCTGCCTCTCATTAGGTGCAGAGCCTAGCCACTGCAGTTTTTCAGTAATTCATGTCTTCTCAGAAAAGTCAAGTATACTTAATTTCATTAATGAATTTGATTAATGGATTTGATTAATGAATTAATGAAATTAAGTGCTCAGTAAATGTTAGCTCTGTACCAGGTGCTGTTCTAAACTCAGTTTACCGAATCTCCTCAGCTACCCCATGTGGTAGGTACTAATAACATCCCATTCACAGATGAGGAAACTGAGTCTTAGGTGATTATATACCTTGCTTGGTCAAACAGTTGATAAGTGGTTGAGCCAAGATTCAAACTTAGTCCATTTGACTTGCAGACAGAGCTCCCTCTTTATGCAATTCATTGGGGCCCCACTCCCTTACAGTCTATATGAATGGTACTCCTAGGTTTGGGCAGTGCACAACCTATGCAGCCATACATGGCAGTTCTGCTTGCAGACCCCTTGCTTTTGACTAACCATTCGCTTCCATGTTCATCATTAATCCAGACCACAAGTAAGGTAGGCATCATTGGTAGAGAGTTCCAGAAGCAGAGACAGTTTTGTGGAGGAGGTGTGATGAGAGTTGAGATTCCCAAATCAGGTAGAATTGTGAGAGGGGAATGCAGGTTTTATAAACAGAAGGAAGAACCCTAGAGGCACCCAGGTAGCTCAGCCAGTTAAGCGTCCGACTCTTGATCTCAGTTCAGTTCTTGATCTCGGGGTCGTAAGTTCGAGCCCCATGTTGGGCTCCGCACTGGGCACGGAGCCTACTTTTAAAATGGTGGGGGAAGAGCCCTAGAAGTCTGAGTGGGCCTGATTCATTAGGGAAAAGACTTTCAAGGATCAGTTGTGAGAACACTAGTTATTCTCTATTGCACACCTAGTATCTGCCTGGTACTGTGTTGGGCCCTCTACTCCCATGTTTTATTTGAGGCTCACCACACACCTACGAGGTGAATAGGAACATTCCCACCCTGCAGAAGAGGACACTGAAGCTCAATGTGCAATGTGCAGAAGAGGACACTGAAGCTCAGAAGTGCAATGGCTTCTGAGACTACACAACATTGGTGCAGGAACAGCTCAGCACCATGGCTGAGTTGACAACCACAGTGGCCCAGGGAGTCCCTTCTTATGGCCACATCCGTGTCTGCTGGAGCCAGAGGAGGCCTCCTTTATGGGGTTTGGAGGAAGCTGTGTTCCCCATGAGGAGGGGGAGAGTAGTTTCAGCACCTCAAGCTTACAATTTTAATTTGAAACATCTCTGACACCTTATCACTAGTTGGGTGAAAAAGCCTTTTGTGTCTTGGCCCTGAGAAGCATCCACCATCATTGTTTCTCCAGTGTCCCAAATGTCTTATAACTGACTTTCAGAAACACCAGGGTGCATGAGAACAGGGAGGATTGAGTGGAGGTTAAGCCTTGATGTCAGGAACGTGGCCCAGCATAGGTCCCCAGCCCCTCCCAGCTCCTGAGCACTCGGGGTTGGCGGGGGTGGGGGGGGGTTGACTTGATGGATGCTGGGTCCCAGTTAACTCCCGCTTAGAAGGAAATGATGGCTGGAACTTTGTGGCAATATGGTTAGAGTATAAATTCCCTTCCTACTATGGAACTCAGTACTTAATGGAGAGAACCAAACACAAATGGACCATAACTCACTCATTCATGTACTAACTCATCATTTCTTCTCTTCACTCACTTCCTTTGTTTATTCACTCCATCTACTTGCCTCCCTTCCTCATTCATACTTTTGTTTCCTCACGCATGACCCTGTTGCCATGGCTAAGAGCTCTGTACATGACTAGGGCTCCAGAGACAGGGAGGCAGCTGGAAAGACAAAACACAAGCCAATAAGAGCAATAACAGAAGAATGTACAAAGTCTGCAGGGACCTGGGGCACAGAATGACTTAACAACAGATTAGAGGGTCAGGAAAAGCTTCAGGGAGGTTGTGGAACGGAAGTTGCCAGGCAAAAGGCATTGCAGACAAAAGGAACGGTGCGGCACAGAGGTGTGAACAGCTGGCCTGCTTAGAGAGAGGTGAGAACAACACTGTGACTGGAGCCCTAGGTGTGTGGAGGGGGCGGGGAAGGATAAGAGATGAAGGTGGAAAGTAGGTTGAGACCAGGCTGGCTGTGAATGGCCGGGTAAGGGGCATGGGCTTTATTCTCAAGGTCAGTGGTTCTCAAAGTGTGGTCCTTGGTGGTGGGGGTGCCTGGCTGGCTCAGATGGTAGAACATGTGACTCTTGATCTCAAGGTTGTGAGTTTGAGCCCCACATTGGTTGTAGAGATTACTTATAAATAAAATCTTTTAAAAAAAAAAGTGTGGTCCTTGGGCCAGCAGCAACTTTTTTTGGGGGGGGGCAGCAGCACATCACATTTATTGAGGGCCTGCCCCCAAGGAGTGCACAGCCTGGGGGCCAAGAGCCCACATGTGCTGGGGTGGGGGAGAGAGGTAAAGGCAAAAAGGAAGGCAATGCAGAGACAGTGTGGCCCAAGCAAAGGGGGTGCAAAGCAGGCACAGGCAGGGAAAGGGGTGGGAGAGGAATGGCAGCCTGGCAAAGCCCTGCCTAGACCTGGGGACCATGGACCAAGCACCGGCTTGAAGGCTGCCCCTCCCCAGCCAGGTTGGTGCCACGCCAGCTCCTCCACCTGCCCTGAGCCAGGTCCCACAATGTCAGCCCTCTCCACCCAGGACTGGACCATGCAGACCCCTGATGGGAGGGCAGGCAGCTCAGGTTTGGGGGCCCAGAGCGGGACAGCAAGGTGGAGTCAGGGCCTAGGAGGGAGCGGCCTGCAGCCTGGGTAGTCCTAGGTCCCTGGGCAAATCCTCCAAGGAACCTCCAAGATTCTCGTGGAAACCCCTGGGCCAGCTAAGGAGGGAAGGGGGATGGGTGCCTGAAGGGAAGGAAGCAGGTAACCAGGAGGGGTCCTCAAGAGGCCTAGGCCCCTCAAAATTGCTCCTGGTAGGGAGGCTTGGGTGTGGACAGGTGGAAGGCCAAGAGGAACCCACCGGGGGGGGGGCAGGGGGACAGCCGGACACATAGCAGCCACGCAGGCGGCAGAGCAGGGACATGGACACACGCGGCTCACCACCAGCATCCCCTTTAATAAAATGTGGAAGGTTGCATGACAGGGAAGTGGGGGGGGGGAGTGAAATACGACCATTTACAACCACAAAAAACCTCTGTACATGTCTAGCGCCTGGCAGAGGGGAGGGCAGGCAGGGCAGCGGCGGGCTGGGGCCAACCCTACTTGTAGAGGATATCGCAGTGTCCAGGCCGATAGAGGTGCTACACCTTGGGCTCGGAGTCCTCGGGAAAGATGCCAGCATCACCTGGCAACTTACTAAAGATGCAAATTCTTGGGTCCTAGACCTACTGAATCAGAAACTCTGCTGGGAGGCTCCAGCCTTCTCCGTGTTAACGTGCTCTCCAGGTGATTCCTGATGCATATTAAAGTTTGTGAATCACTTTTCTACATAGTAGGGATTTAGCGGTGGTGTGTGAGCAGGGGAGTGCCATAATAGCACTCTGAATTGAAAAGCACTCTGATAGCAGCATGGAAGCCAGACTGATTA